TGGTTCCCAACCTTGGCTGTACATCAGAATCAGCAGGGAAACTCTGACAGAGCCCAGATCCATGACACCAGCAGAATGATAAAACCAGAATCTCTTAGGATTGGGGATGCCCTGGCCTTAGTGCCCTCAAAGCTTTTCAGGATGTTCTACTGTGACCACCCCCCAAGACCACTAATCTAGAGTATATGTTTACCGATACAGAAAAAATATCTTTGCAATGTAAATAAATATAAACAACCAAATGTTTCATGCTTAGTCATTGTGAGATCAACACAGAGGATAAACATTTTTTAAACAAATTAAGAAATAAAATTGAAGCAATAGTTCACATCATTCAAATCAAAATAGTCTTTTGATTAAAACAGTTATCCATATATTTGTTCATGTACATTACATTTGGTAAAAATAAATGTTAATGAATTATGATTTATTTGTGGAGAAGGATGAGAATGAGAGCATTGCTAGATTTCCTTTGCTAATGCTTTAATTCACAGTTTATATGTGGACACTAACTTCACCTAATAAAAGAAATTAAAATACATATATAACAGCAATTATTTAAACTTTGTGATCATAACTATGTAGCCACTAATTTCACCTAGTTACAAGTCCAAAGTAAAAATATGTATTCCTTGGTCTGTGAGAAAACAAATATATAATAATAAGATGTAATTTTGGATATCTATAAAAATAAAACACAGATCATAAATCAATAGTTGTACATGGAGCAAAAAGAAAAAATATAAACCATACACAAAAATGATTGTTATTCTCCTGAACTTCATAAATAGCTTTATTAATGGTAAAGTAATAAAAATACATATAAATATTATGTATCAATAAAAAATGTTAAGTAATCATCTGCATGGTCAGACTGATCTTGTAAAGAAGCAATTCAACTATAAAAATTATTTGAAAATAAAGTGGTAGAATATTATAATGTTATATTTCTAGATGTGAACTCCATACTTCTGAACAGTGGCATAATATTACAATAGCACTTAGTAAAGAGCAAAATAATATTTTTGGTTCAAAGTTTAAGTGAAAAAATTGTATGATACTTGATTTCTTCTTCAAAAATATTTCTTATGAATTTTTAGTGTGCAACACTAAAATACATAAGAATTTAAGAAATGTATTTTTTTCTTTTAAAATTGTACATTGTGTAAACCAAAGTCTATCTTCTCAAATTGGGTAATGTTTGTGGGTGGTCCAGATGAAAGACAGTCTTGGGTATCATGACTGCTAAGTATTATATATGCCTAATACTTGAGAGGTATCCTTTTCGTCAGTGTCTGTTAAATAAAAATAAGCAATATAATCTGCTTTAATATAATATTGTAAAAATTAAAATGTGAGCATTCATATATTCCTGATAGTATAAAAGTTACGATTTATATTGACAGAACTAAAGTACAGATGGTACAATGATTTATTTTGCAATCTAATCTCAAACCCACTTACATTGACCAACTGTTTGAGCCTATAGTAACTGAATAAAACTATCAATAACTACAAAAGTTTGTCTGTAACATAAAAGTTTATACCCATAAATTCCTCACTTTCAGATTTATTTGCAAGAATTCCCAGGAACTAAAGAATGGCACGTATAAGAGATAATATGTATTTGAGTAAAATCAAGCATGTTTATTAAAAAAATTTGTAATTTTGTAACTTAAAATATTTCATTTTTTAATATCGTCAGACAAGTTAAAAATATTGGTAGCTTTGGTCAGCTTTTTATTACGTATCAAAAGCACTGTTTTAAATAGTACCGCAAACTACAGGAAAATTACTGCTGTGATATTTACTACTCAAGTTATGTAATGTAGGAAAATGCTATAGAATTAATGATATATTCAAAATCTTGTGTTCTTTATTTATCCATAAATAATTTCCCTGATAAATGCATATATTTACTTTTGAAGAAAATTAACCCAGCCGTTTATCAGAATATTTAAAAACATTATTGAGCGCAAATTTTTTCTATGAAATGTTGCAATACAGATGTAAATCTAATCTGTATTTGATCTGCAATTACTATAAATTTAAGACACTATAATTTTATTAGATGTATTCTAAGAAGTTTCTTTTTAATAACTGGTCAAGAAGTTTCTTAAACAATTCATATCAAAGTGAAATTATTTATTTTTTAATATGAAATGTAGCAATTTTAAATAAGGGGAGAACATATAAGTAGAAAGTAACAAATCATCCTAATTCTAAAATGTTAGAACTCAATGCTTACTCATTTAATTATAAATGAGTATAATAAAGTTAATAGTTTTTCTAAAATATAAATCCCAACAATTTGTAGTGCTAACATGATTTTATGTATTCTTTTCTCTATAATCTTAATAAATGTATTTATAAATCATAAGTTAAAATTCATTGTTAATGGAAATATTAACAATTACAGAAATATAATACATTTACTTTTAATGTAGCCTATGACTTTGTAGATGCCTTCAGAAAGGAAAAATTTTATGTAGAGCTTCTATCTTGAACAATGCTCCTAATGATAGTCATTTCATATATGTAAGTCCATCCGAAATAAGTAAAGGTGTTCAGAAAGAAACTCTGGCACATCTTTTGAGTATGAAAACATTTTAAGCCATGTGGTATAGTTTATACATAAATATATTTATGGCTTTTTCAGAATCAAAGATAAATTATATGTTAAACTAAGAAACTATGCTTCTACTAACTTTCTACATATAATCAATTGATTTGTGAGTCCTAACTAAGAACACCACACTTTAAATTCGAAACTGTAATGTTTGGCAACAGCTATTATGGAAAAAATGTTTCAAGTTTCCAAGCAACTACAACCAAAAAAACACCCCACAACCAATAAATATCTGCAAGACATAACATGCAATTAATTCTCCCAAGTGTCTGCGTTTACTTTTCAATGTTTAGAATAAGTTTTTAAAGAAATTAAGATTTTCATAATGTGCTTTTTTGTGCATACAGTTAACTTCTAGGTTACACAAAAACATAATTCAGAAGATGGCAATAACGTTATAAATGAGTTAACTTACAGCATACTTTATAGCTATGATTATGTAAATATACAGTTGTGAAGTAATTTAGGTCAAGGGGAAAGAAAACTTTTTAATGTATTTATTTAAACATTTAAACTAAGATGTATTCTGCATGCTTATTTGAAAATATGCTGCAATCGATTGTCAACAAAAACTATCTTTTAAATACTGAGTTATACAAATGAAAATTATTAGAAATTAGGGTTTATATGCAGGGAAGGAGGCAAATCCAATTATTACCACTATTAAACACAACTATACTGAAACCTCTGCAATCTTTTTATTAGTAGTAGAATTAGCAGACATAGAGTTTCCTTTTCTTTACAGTTTCAATGCAACACATCTTGTCAAATTAAATAACCATGCAATTATTGCAATAGTCATTTATTGTTAATTTCTGCCATTAAAGTTTTATTCCCAGACATAAGTTATGTAATATGGTTAAAAAACGAATAGAAAAGTTTAAGATACACTTGTCTAGTGAAGTATCACTCTAAATTAGTGTTGTAAATTCAGCCTTACTGTCTTCAGAGATGTGTTTCTGGTCTTAAAGAATGATAATAAGGCAAGGTCAGTTTGAGTTTAATATAATTGTCAAAAGCACAATGAATCCACCCAAAGTAAAATATGGCCCTTCAACTATGTTCACTTAAAATAGGCATCCCTTAGTCCAGTTCTCTTGCCAGATAGTCACAAAACTATGTGATCTATACCACCCTTGACTTCATTTTCCCAGCAGAAAGCAAGTGAGACAGAGGGACAGTTGTTTTGTTTGTATGTGGATTGGGAAAGCAGTGAGGAAGACAGCGAGAGACAGAGAGAGAATGTGGTGTATTATTTCTTTTGAAAAGCAGTGCCAGTTTATCATGTCGTTTAAGAAATTACCCTTGGAACAAAGCAGTAAGGCCTATAGAGATTCCGTCATTACATCTTTCCTACTAAAGGTCACTGCAGTATCTTCATCTTCAATACAGCGCTTAGGTAAATTTCATTTCAGCACCACGGACAGAGACACTTCTATTAAAACCTGCACCTATGGCTGCATTTGCATTGACCAATTCTTAAGAAACTTGCACAGACGTCTCATTTGCCCATCAGCAAGGGTTATATTATTTATTACATTGAACAATGAGGCCTTAAATATAATACCTACTATTAAATATTTCAGCAAATTTTAAGTATAGCATCAACGTTTTGCCATTTAATACTTCCGAAAAGCATACTGAAAATCCAAACTAATTACATACTATGTCTGATAAATAGCCTATTGCTAATCAATCACTAGAGACTTCAGTACAACTTTTCATTTATAGTGAGTCCCAGGTCAATTATTATACAAACGTCCAAGAGGAAACAGGAAACTTAGTAAATATCCTCAGGTAGGCCCCCAGACTTTCTGAACAACCAGAATTACCCTGTAAAAACAGGTAATTTCTTTTTACTATCTAAACAACTACAACCACTTTCTCTCGCTCAACCAGCTTAATGATGTCACTATCAGAGCGTTCCTGTGTGCAGATCTATATTGCAAACCACACATGCCTGTCTTGAACTCTTCTGACTTTACCTGTGAGCATCAGTGTGCATTCTCACTGCTGTCTTCCCTACAAGACTTTCTCAACTTCCGTTTTTTAAAAGACGTAACAGAGTTTGAGCCAACTGCATGGATGTAAGAAACAGTCAAAGTGCCAACTTTATTATCTCAGATAACCACGAACTTCCCTGATCTTCCAAGGACTCCCGGAAGAAGGCACCAGTCAGTCCACCAGCAATCCACTAGGTATTCTCAACTCAAACAGCAAGACAAGCTCTTCGTAACCACAGAAAAGAACCACAATTAAAGAACAAAACCAGAGCCAAAAAGCAAAATAAAATAAACTGGAAAAGACACCCGAACCGAGCAAACAGAGAAAGGGAAGTGTAGGAAAGGGGGAATCCCCCGAGGGCTCCTACCTTACAGTCTTCAGGACAGGATTTCACCGAGTACTCCTCCGACTGTAAGTATTTGTGGAGCACGCTTTCAAACTCTTCGTACTTCTCCTGAGCATGGTGGTCATAGTCCTGGTAAGCCTCGACGCATTGCCTGCAAGTGGTCATCTCGCCGCCTTCCTTGAGCACCACATCCAGACTGCAGTTCAAAGTGTTGGGACTGGACAACCCGGAGAACAACTCCCAAAGTGTGTAGGAATTACAAAACGATAGGTAAAAATCTGACAAGTTCCAAGGCGGGGTGGGATGCTCGCTCCTCACCTCCTGCCCGTCCCCCGCGGCCGCCCCCCGACTCCAGTTCCTAGCGCACACCGCGTCCGCATTCTCCACCGTGAAGCACTGGCCCGAGGACGCGCCCTGGGGGTAACAAGTCTCCAGGCGCCACACGGGCTTGGCGGAGTTTCCTAGAAAAAGAGCCTTGCCCCGGTCGTCTTTGCCTCGGTTGCCCTTGCCGCCGCCGCCGTCTCCCGGGGAGGGGGGCAGGGTGGGGGACGAGGAGGCGGAGAGGAGTCTGTGTGCCTGGGCGGCGGGCGAGGACTCCCCCATACTCGCCAGGAGCGCGGGCCAGGAGGGCTCCTGCTGTCGCTGCCGCTGCTGCTGCTGCTGCTGCTGCTGCCGCTGCCTCTGCTGCTGCTGCTGCTGCTGCTGCTGATGCTGCTGCTGATGCTGCCGCTGCTGCTGCTGCTGCTGGTGGTGCTCCTTGTCCCGGGCCCGGGTCAGCTTGGCCTCGGCGCAGAACCACAAGTGATCAGAGAGCAGGACTGTGAAAAACAAGAGAGATGCCAGAGACAGTCGCCATTTCTGAGCCCTCTCGGAATCGATGAACGGTTTCTCGTTCTCCCGGGGTGCTGCCAACCAGATTTTTAAGCCGTCGTCATACTGCCGACACATCCAAGCACCCCTGGTCATATTTTGGGAACGCACAGCCCTGGCCGACTCCACCGTGAGGGCGCGTGTGCCGGTGTCACCACAATATGCATTGACTTAAAGGGTTTAATTTCCTTATCCCCTCCTCCCGTTTCTTCTCTCTCTCCTCTCTCTCTCTCTCTCTCTTTCTCTCTCTCCCCCTCTCCCTCTCTCCCTCTCTCTCTCTCTCTCTTTTCTCTCTCTCTCTCTTTTGCCTACATAAATATTACCAGGGTTTGAAGGAAGGTCTGACTTGTTTCCGACCTAATCATCAGCCGACCCCATCCTCTGTAGAGTGGGAAACAATAATGGGGAGGGAGAGAGAGAGAGAGAGAGAGAGAGAGAGAGAGAGAGAGAGAGAGAGAGACAGACGGAGGAGGCTGGTGCTGCTGGTGGCCGGTGGTGAGGCTGGGTGCAGGGGGCGATGGTGCAGGTGCAGGTGACGGGGTGGCTGGCGCGGCTCCGGTCACCCAGGCATTGTCAGCGCGCGGGTCCCCATGGCCCCGCGGAGCCCAGCCCGCTCTCCCCTGCCAGGGGCATGCCGCGCCTCCGCTGCCCACTGACGGCGCCCGGAGCGCCTCCCCTCCTCCTCCTCCTCCTCCTCCTCTTCTTCTCCTCCTCTTCCTCCTCCTTCCTCTCCTTCTCCTTCTTCTCCTCCGCCTCCCGCTCCTGCTCCGCGCCGGCTCTCCCAGAGTCCGGAGCCTGGGCTGCCTCCGGCGGGGCGCTCCCTCCCCCCCACCCCCCACCTCGCGCTCTAAGTGCTGCCGCCGCCGCCGCTGCCGCAGGGCCGCCCGCGGGCGCCGCCGCCGGGGCTCCGACTGCTGACGCCGCCTCCCGCGGAGCTCCGGGCCGAATCGCCTGGGCCGGGCCTCCCGAGAGCCACAGTCATCTTCAGTCCCCGAGCTAAGTTGCCGCCATCTTCGTCCTGGAGAAACACTTTTTTGGGGGGAGCGCTGGCTTTTGCGTCATCTCCTCCCGCGCCGAGCTCGCTTCATCCTGGCGCAGTGGCGCCGGCTCGGCCCGGGAGGAGGGCGAAGGCGCGCGGGGGCGGGCGGACGGGCGGACGGGCGGCGGCGGGGCCGCGGTGCTCAGGGGCCCCCGCCCGGCTCCCCGGGCTCGGCGCCTGCTCCCTCCTGTCCTAGCCCTGTCCACGGTATGCTGTTTTAGTCACTGGAGGGAAAGATAAAAAGTCAGGCTGCGGACGCCGTGGCCGCGGAGGCTCCCGGAAGCGTCCGAGTTGCCGGCGCCGGGGCGGAGGTCTCCGCTGGGGCAAGGGTCTGGCAGAGTCCTCCGAACTAAGGACCGAGCCACTTGCGAGGGAAGGTGGACGAGGAGGACGCTCGAATTGGCTGGGGGAGACGAGGTGGCATTTGGTCTCTGAATGCGCCTCGGATCCCGGACCCCGAGAGCCGCCGCTCCCCGCGCGTGCGGTGATTCCGTCCTGATGTGGGGCCCGGGAGGGTGCGTGCGCGCCTGTGCACCTGCATCGACCGTGCAGCTGCCCGGGAAACAGCCACCTATCTGTCCATGTTTTCCTATTCTAAAGTGAATGATGAGAAGTGGCCTCCTAGAGTCGTGGGAAGAAGCGGTGAGCCCTGCGCCACCCGGGATAGTGACCCTGGCCCCGGCCTCCACGTGCACCGTCCGCGTCTCTGAGGGCTCCTGCTCGGACCTGGACCCTCTGGAGCAGCTCCGACCCTCCCCCTGCCCCCGCTGCCTGCGCCCAGCCCCCGCCCGGGTGGGCTTCTCCGAGGACCTCCGCAGCCGCGGGCCAGCTGGGTGCCTGCGAGTCGCCGCCGCAGCCTGAGCCTCTGGTGCCCCTTAGCGTCGGTTCTCGGAGTTCTGAGAAGGAAAGGCAACAGACACACTCTGGGAAAATCTGGGGTAACCTCGATTCTGGCTCCTAGGCTGGATGGGCAAGCATCGGTCTCCTTTAATCTGTAGATCCTGCCCACTCCGCCACTCGCCCCAGCCAGACCCGCGGGAGCAGGAGGCCGCGTGGGTGCCAGACGCTGCCCGTGCGCACCGAGCGCAGAGCTGCCCGGGATCTCCGCGGGGGTCGCGCGGGACAGCGGTTTGCGGGGTCGCCCTCCCTGCAGGTGCTTTCCAAGGACCCTCATGCCCCGCCCAGGTGCACATTCACCACATGGGGCTTACTAGGTGACCTTGTTCTAAGTAAAATGTCTTGAGAAACCAAAGGGATGGGGCATCCGTATCCATTTTCCTTTAACAAGCGCTGTGGGTGTTGGGGATGCGGGAGAAGTAGGTGTTTTTTTTTTTTTTTTTTTTTTTTTTTTTTTTTTAAAGAGAAAATTGCAAAACCTCTTGGGCAGGATTCGACCTACTAGTCTCTTCTGCTGCTTAATAAGGTACTGTATATACTAAATTTTACCCTTACAAATTTTCAGTTCTTACAAACTATAGGTAATGACCATCAAAAAGCTGCATCCAGTTTGATGACTGGTTTACTCAAGTGTCTCGCAGTGTTTTAAAAGACCATTTGTATAAGTAGATCATTCTAATACTTTCGGTTTCAGTGTGTTGAATTTCCGAGTAATGTCAGAGTTTTTCTTCATGATATAGACAAAATTATTAACCAGATTGTTTATTAATCAGATCTGTACTTCACATGTGGGCCCTAGCCACAGTATCTCTTCAATAGACTAAATACAAATGCATACGTTCCCACTGACATAATTATTATGTGCATTGTAGAAAAGTTATAAAAATGGAAAGAGCCATTTTAAAAATCATGGTGACATATGAAAACTGGGGGAAATAAAATAAATAAACAAGATAAATTTAAAGGTTTATATTACCAAACAAGGAACCGAAGCAAAGGAGGGCTCTTTGACTTACTATTATGCAGATCTGTTAAAATTATGTCTCAGAAAATAGTTCAGTGATACTTAATGAAAGTTTTATTTACTGCATTAAAATAATAGTGTTTAATCTGATTTTTACTTTATATAATAGAGGATAGTTAATTCTTTGCTTTTAAGTAAGCTGGGCCTTGCCCTCCTCTAATATTTCTCATGAATTAGGATATTTTTATAAGACAATTTTAAGGATGCAGGCCCACGAAAGTGAACTGTCAACACCAGTTTGACTTTTGTTTGTTGTAAGTTGGTTCTAGAATGACCCACTGGAAGACAGATAAAAAATCATGTTTGGCCTCTTGAAACTTAGTCAAGGGGCAGGTAATACTAACTAGGCTGACAATTACAATACAAGATAATCTGTGAAGATTAGCATGTTTTGAGACTTCAGAGTAGAGCGGTAAACCTCCAGTCGGATTTTAAGAGGGACTAGGAATAGATAGGAATTGGGGGCATTGAATGGGAGCAGAAAGAATTCTTCTAGAGAGTGGAAAAGGACAGTTCAGATGAACAGCAAAGTTCAAGGACTCAGGAGCTTAAAGGAGCCCAGGGCACTGGTAGGACTACTGACATAAGTGGGCTGTGTAGGTGTGACGATATATCGGGAGGGGGTAAGGGAAGAGGCTGGGGAGAAAAGCTGGGGCTCCGTTAAGAATGACACTGTATCATACTCAAAGGAAATTGGCTTTTCTCCTGAAAGAGATGATTTCATTAAGGAAATTTAGATTGCAACTTGAATGTTCGTCTTCATGAACATCACTGTTCACTAAAATCAAAATGAAAAATACGTTTGGAAAAGTTGTTAACTAGATTAGTAAATGTTGATTCTTGTTAGCTTATCACCTAAAATATTGCATAGTGGCAAAGAAGAGCAAATACCTTGACTGGAATGTAGGTTTCATTTATCAGGAAAAGCAGGCTGTGGAGTCTAGAAACTCCTACGTAGGTTTTACCTAGGAGTGTGACTAATGGAATAGGGAAGTTTAATAGCACCAGCACATTTCAGAAGGCTGCTGAATAGTAGACAGTTGCAAATACATTATATTGAGGGATCGGCTGACAAGATGTACTCTGAACAAGAGAACATCGCAGAGACAGTCTACATATATGTCATAGCTCCAGGATTACTGTTCAGGGGGTCATTTATGTTTATAACCGTCCAAGATTCAGAGCTCTTATGTTATTTCATCATGTTTATTTTCAAGGGAATCAGTGCTTTTATTCCTGTTTAAATGGCTAAAATTGTTATGCATTGAGAGATAAAAATGACATGATATGTTTTTTGTCTCCTCAAATATGTATCCTTATCCCTTAAAATTAACATCTGCCAAATAATTTTAACACAGAAAAGCAGGCAAATCCAGAATATCTTCTTATCTAGTGAAGGCCATTACTGAAACAAGTCCACTCCATAAATCAAGGAAATAACCACCCCGAGATATTTTCTTTTTTCACACTGAATGCATACTGAAAACACAAAAATAGGCACACCCTTTGCCGTTCTCATATACTGTTTATGTGACACATAAAAATGAAAAAAAATATGTTCTTATGTACACATTAATCTCAAAAAAGAATTTTGTGCTTTCAGAATTCACAGGTAATGTGCAAATTCTTGATAAGCATGTCTACATTTTTTATTTATTTTTATGGTTGTTGTTTTTGAGATGGAGTCTAGCTCTATCCCCTAGGCTGGAGAGCAGTGGTGCAATCATAGCTCACTATAGTCTCAAAATCCTGGGCTCAAGGGATCCTCCCACCTTAGCCTACCAAGTAGCAAGAACTGCAGGTGCATGTCACCATGTCCAGCTAATTTTTATTTTTACTTTTGTAAAATGTGGTAGAGATGTGGTCTCTCTGTGTTGCCCAGGATGGCCTGAAACTCCTCACCTCAACTGATCCTATTGCCTCAGTCTCTCAAAGTGCTGGGATTAAAGGCGTGAACCACCACACTGGCATATGTTTACATTTTTAAAAACAAATTCAACATAAAGAGCTCATGAAGAATAGTCAAAGTTTGTTTATTGAAAAATGTAAGACTAATCTATAAGCTTTTAATTTCACTGTAATTTACTAATGTAAACCTCTCTTTAAGATAAAAGCAGATTCTAGCATCATGAGGTACCTGAGGACTCTAGTTAGTTACCAAGATAGTAAGTGTGTCTGAGGCTTTCTGCTACTGCATCTCCACTTTGATTTGCTGGAGCTGATTTGGCAAACCAGAATTTTTTCTCTGTCTGTGTACTTCCACCACGTCCAGCTCAGTGATTTTCAAATGTTGGTGGGCAGAGAGTCAAGTAGGGACTTAGTTAACCTGGGCCCCTCTCCAAAGACCTGCCTCAGTAGAACTAGGCTGGGGTCTGGGAAAACTGTAGGGTCTTTTTTTGGTTTTTTTTTTGTTTTCTTTTTCCTGAGACTGAGTGTCACTTTGTTGCCCAGGCTGGAGTGCGGTGGTGCCATCTTGGCTCACTGCAACCTCTGCCTCACAGGTCTCAAGTGATTCTCCTGCCTCAGCCTCCTGAGTAGCTGGGATTACAGGTGTGCACCACTACGCCTGGCTAATTTTCTATTTCTGGTAAAGACGGGGTTTCACCATGTTGGTCAGGCTGGTCTCAAACTCCGGAGCTCATAATCTGCCCACCTCAGCCTCCCAAAGTGCTGGGATTATAGGCGTGAGCCATGGCACTCAGCTGGAAACTAGATTTTTAACAAGATCCCCTCAGTAACTTTTTATAACCTATCAACACTCT